CAGCTCGTCCAAATACCTCTCCCATGCAACTGTTGTCGTCACAATCTCGTCCAACCCCCATTTGCTACTTTCGGCAGTATCGTATTTTTCCGATACCCTGACATTCGCGCTTTCTTCGCCTTTTTCGCTCTATCTGGACTATCACTTTCATTATTCGTCTGAAACCAGATAACTCAAAATTATCGTGAACTACGTCTTCAAGAGTCTAGGCAGTATAACACGTCCTGAAAACTTTAATCCCGATTTTTGCCTCTCTCGATTCCTCTCATACTTGGAAACAATTTTGTCAGCTCTGTATTTACGACATTTCTTAATGTATTTGCGACAATCTTCTTTATGTACGTGGTAGTATCACTAAGGGTTGAAGGACGTTGCAAAGTCTCTGAAAACCGCTCACCCATCCAAGGCATAGACGACGGAAAAGCAGTTGATGGTTCCAACAAATCAAACGCTTCCACCGCACCATCGACCTGAACCAACGATTACTGAACTAGCTGACCTTAATACTGTCTAGCAAGTAACGTACCACGCCAGCTACCAACGCAGTACCATCTGCTGTGTAGCACGTAGATGTGACATCACCCTCCGATAAGAAGAGCCTGTAGGATTACAATTGAGAGCATAAAAATGAATCCTACTGAATATGAGACCTTTTCGGAGGGCGTTGGTCAAGGTAGAATTCTACGAGAAGAGTTCGATTAACAATATCTTCAGCAGGTGATTCCTTGATGAAGAACCCCGCCAAAAGGATATCAGGCTCCTTTGAGTTGAGGCCGATAGTTGTGACACGATTTGCTGAAATACCCATGTTTTATACATTTACATGACTAACTGTAAGTAAGTGAGTCAATCTACGAACCTTGCGAGATTGGACCGAGTTCGAATGAGTTATAGCCCAAACTAAAGGAGAAGACGCTCTTGTTCTGCAGAAGAAGGTCAGATGAAGTCTTTTGGCGTGATGTGATCAAGTCGATTACAACCTAAACGAATAGTTTACGAAGAAAGCCTTCTCAGAATAAAAGAAAAGGGTTTCGAGTAACTTCTACAAACGTATGTCCGGCAGAGACTCCTGAGCCAAAGACCTGGGATGGGAAACTTAGGACGAATAAGGACTTAAGGATTGGCTCACAAAGGGGGCAGTCCCAAATTATCGGTGTAGAGAAGAGGTGTAATAACTAGTAGATCAGGAGGGAAGATGCTTCTCTGACGGTAACCTTCAGCAGGATTGTGGCCTCCACTCAGAATTACCGCAGTACAGCCGGTAGCAATCGCTCCAGCACTCTTATATTTAGCCACAGTATCTCGAATTCACCAACAGCAACTCACTTGTCCAGCAGCTTCTACGAACTGCTTCAGACGAGGATTTTGTAGATGATTTTCGCGGAACATGGCCATTTCTTCGTCCTCTTTAGATTCCACAGACTCATGACTTGCACTCTCTGATCCCCAGCCGTAGTCATCCTGAAAATATCTTCCACTACTCAGAGAGAATTTCAAGCACACCAAAAATGTATCAGCTGAAGTACGTGTGGCGGATGTTGAGTCCATTTGATTTCATTCAGTGGCTCCTCGGTTTGCGTTTCTTCACTGACATCATCGCTGCCGGTTTGCATCGATGACTAAACAGAACGTCAACAACTCTTAATATCGGAGAGCGTCAAAATATTCCAGTCAAAGAGGAACAGAGGAGGAAAAATAAGGCAAAAATAGGACGATAGTATTGAAGAGTTCGGAGAGGATGGTGTTGTGGCAAGTGGCGCACTATCACACACAGGTTCGGGTCGACTCTTTTATTGGTATCCGCCTAGGCCAACCAAAACTTCCTTCCCTGGCTGACCACTGCTAATCATTGTATGTATAGGTCACACATGTATTCATTACATCATTTCGAATCTGACCAGAAGTCGAATGTGGGAGCGCATCCCTCGGACAGATTGATAATTGCCCAAGGACTTCGTCATGCAGAAGAGCCAAGGTTCGAATGGTTTTCCGTGGGAAGCAGCAACTGCTTTAAATCTTCTAGGGAGATGTGTAAAAGGCAGGGTGTCAGTGAGCTACCCCTACCAAGGAAAACAGATTCGTCAGCCAGTTGGGCTGCTCTAACTGAACCTTCAACCGTTAGCTCCTAGGACGGAGGTTCACTTCCGAGAATAATCAACGGCAGGGTATGTACATTCGAGCCCGTTTTCATTGGGATGGCAACATGGACAGTGTTCGAGAGCTGAGCTCAACCCAATCCAGTCAAGACCGAAGGAATTACAGCGCGGGTATTAGATAAGGAGAGACACCTATCAGTTTGATTTTATTACAGTGGGCATCTTTATAAATTCAACTCATTGAATAAAACTCTACTGAAAAGCTGATCAAATGCTTACTTGACTCTTTCCTGATTGACCAAACAATTCCATATAGAAATCGTAGTCCTTTATCGGTGGTACATCTACTATGAGGTGGAAAACCGGTTCCAGAACTGAAAAGCTGCTTGAAAGCATGTATTGGAATCGTCAACTTTATACTAACAACTGGCTACCTCTTTTTGACTTGCCCACTATACCCTTCTCTAGACATGTATTTCAACCCATGCCTCTCTATATGCGGGATGGCTGAAAAGTATAGAACGCCACATTTGTAATCGTAATTTCGAAGATGTAGGACAGGTAGACAAAACTACTTTATTGTAGATTAGAATAGAGCTGTATGGTCACTCAGGACAGGAGGCGTTCGAAGTTCGGTCCTTTCGCTTTTACATAGGCATCTAGAGGTTAGATAAGAGGACCAACGGACCAACAGGTTGTCAACTTCGATAACGTCCCACGTCTTCTGAAGCATCAACGCCAGAGCATGCATCCAACGAGTGGTAGGGGCTTCCTGCGATTTTGCTCATCCAGTACCCCTACACAGAAAAGTCTAGTGGATTGAGGTATGGCGAAGAGGAAGGTCAGATATTCTCGCCTCAGTACCCGGAGAAATGCTCAGTGACTACGGCTTTCGTCAATGTTAAGGCATGCAAAGGGGCCAAATCTTGCTGAAGGACAAACGATCAATCACTGGAGTGCTTACTGACCAAGATTGACAGGGCGTTCATTAAAAGAACCTTTTGGTATACCTCGGAGTCGATTTTTACATTTTTGTCGGCTCACGTCGACGTTTCGGGGACGCGCCGTCAACTTTTGGCGACGAATTCTCTGGTTTTGACCGTTTGCAAACGTTCTACAGTGAAACTTTTCTCATCACTTCAGATCACGTCAGAGATGCTATGGAGGTAAGAAGCAATCCGATTCGTGCGAACTCCATCGTTGGGGGTGATTCTCTTCTTAATAACGTCACAAATTTTTGGTAGCTTCACTGTTCCCGGTCGTCCAGTTTTTGGCATCTCAGAAGCTTATACTAGAGCCCTGAGAAGAGCGGAGACATTTCGAACGGTTGAAGAGAAAACACGAGTCGTTTCGCGTTGTCCCACTTCCTGAAACTTTCTCTGAACAATTTCTCGATGTTGGGTCGATGCGCAGGAACCATCATAGCGATGGTTCCGAAGGACGGTCAATCAAATAATTATAAACGGATTCTTGCACATCTCCTGTGCTCTCAAAATGTCTCAGAATGCTCTAACAAGGAAGGCCTTTCAGGGCGTGGGACGCTTTTTGATAATAGTATTTTGCATGGTGTAGGGGCATGAGCACTGAGTATATAACTATGGTCCATTTCCGCTAACTGGCCTTCTGAATGCAAAAAAAAGG